ACTGATGAATGTGTCGACACACAGCAGACAACTTGGCAAAGACCCAACTCGAGTTGAACCTCGAGGCACTTACAGGTTATTAGTGTTATTAGTGAACTTGTGAAAAACATCAATCATAACAGAGTTTGACAGGAATATTTCAGCATCATGTGAAGTGTCTCTGTGAATATTTTTAAGGGAACTGAACACACGGAGGACGAGAAGAAAACCTGTCCTTGAAAACTTGGGAAAAACCAGCAAAGACCTGCTCCGGGACCTGAGGGATGCATCTGTCCCTTCAGCTGATCGTCTGCTGTTCACTGAAGCCTCCTCAAAAATGGTCTCAGTGGAAGGCTGGCTGTCAAAAAGTTACTCTTCAGGCAGGGAAGCAGGGAGAAATGGGTGGGCTACGAAAATTACACAAGAAATCCAAAGAAAATCAGTGTCAACAAGTCCTGTGAAGTGATGAATCCACATTTGATCCAATTTCTGATTCACCATTTGGAAAGCATCCGATTGGCTGCACTGACAAACAAACTGCAGTCAAAACGAACCTGGATGGAAAACATGGACCAGCCTCCCAGAGCCTGCTCATAGTTTCCAGTGTGGTGTCATCCTGACAGAGAACACAGCATCCAAGAAGAGCTTTGGGATGAGCCTCGTGAAGGTAAAGAAATCTTCCTCAGAGTTCAGGCTGTGTTCCAGAATAAAGGTGGTCATACGAGCATGGACTTATGGACGCTTGAGAATGAGGTAGCGTATAAAAGTCACTTTCATTTCCAAATACGCTGCACTTACATCCCTTTTGTTAGAAAACAAAGACTGAAGTAGTGGTTTGTGCACACGGTGTATCTGGAGGCAGGTGTGGTGTTTTACCTCGAGAATAATGTCGGCAGAGTCGTGAACCAGCATCACCAGAGTGCCCACCCTCACATAGTTGGCAATGTAGGAGAAACCGATGAGAATTATGGTGGCGATATGATGAACCACCTGCTCCTTGAAATCCTAAAACACAAACACACATGCATGCATGCATACACTTAAAAACATGCAGCAGCATGAACAGCAGCTGCACGGGTGCCATTTGAAACCAGCATGGTTAAAATATCAAATGATCGTCTGCACTGATTCGTTAGTTTAAATAATACAAATATGACAGCAGCAAAGCCTCCTGAAGGACAGAAGCACTGAAACGAGATGACTGTGAATATTTACAGTGTTCAGTACAGTTCAGGTTTCTGTGGAGAGACTGAACTGAAGATTTAATATGCTGTCAAAGTACAGAGTTACAGATAATCACAGTTACAGATCATCCAGAGCATAATCTGCATTTGCTTTTTTCACCATTGGACTAAAACGTTACATTTCAGGGATTAAACGTGGAATAATAACCAGCTGTTTTCAGTTAATACTCACTTTTCGCTTCACATCCACAGAGATGCTCAGAAGCAGCGACAAATAGAAGCCCATCTCCAACATGTAATACCAGTAATGAGCCTCAGACACAGGCTGATGAAGGAGAGAGCGACAGCAGGTCAGTGTGATCAAAACAGAAGCTAACAAACACCATGCTCATTTGTCCAGACTTAGACAGCAACAATGGTGATGCAGCAGCAGCATTCACAGACAGATGTGTTAGATTGTTAATCACTAG